ATCGTTCGGAACTTGCCCGGTTAGGGCTGTTGAATCGGCCGGTTTATTGGTTAAGCCGGTTAAATCGCTTTCAAGCCCATATCCGGTTAACTGTACTGGTTCGATTTTGTAAATTATGGTCCAAACACGTATTATTCGTATGCATGTAGAGGCTTATAACCATCTGATAAAGATCAAACACTTGGGAATGAGTTGGCAACAATGTAGCTAACATTTGCTATCAGTAATTTTATCAATATTAGGATTTTTTTTTAAGAAGAAATACTATAAGTTATTTCAAAATAATATCATTTAAGAACGCGTATACTATGTTCCTTATAGGCGGGATATCACAGACTTACTCCCTTATGTGAAAATGCTACTTGGGAAGATTTTTTAAGTAAAAAATTTGGATACAACTAAGAATCACTGGAAAATCATTTTCTAAAACAAAAATTTGGATTTCGATCTCTTCAATACTTAGATCTTACTCTCTGAAAATTGGACGGTCTCTGTTATTAAATATATTGGACAGCCCTGCCTTTACAAGCATCGACAGCGCCTCCTTCTCCAACCCACCCTACCCTTTCTTTCCCCATTTAGTGTGTATTGACGGTCCATAAGCACTGAAGCCCCGCCTTTGACACCATCTTCATCTTCTTCTTCTCCACCCCACCTTTCTTGCCCCATTCGCCCCTCTAGCTTGCTTGCCTCCATTGCCAAACCCAGAGAATAGAGAGAAAGGAGAAGACAGAAAAACGGGAAGAATAGGGATGGAAGCAGTAGATGGAGCACGGGAGAAGAAAGAGAATGGGTAATGTTTTAATAGGGCAGATCAATGTTGTCATTGTCAAATTCACATTCGAGTCTTTTTCGGTTTAATGAGAAAAATGGAACAATTCGGTACTTCGACTGATTTGGAAAAGAAGGCTTCGAACTTTTTTTTTTTAATTAAATTATATATTTATATATATAAAATAATTAAAAAAATTAAAAATATACTTCTATATAGGGTTTTTTTCTGACCGAAAAAACCCGAAGCTTCGGCCGAAGTATACCCAAAACAAACCGAAACAGCCTGAAGCGGTCTGAATATGATTGAAGCAGCAGCACCACGCTTCTCTTGGCTTAGGTTTATGCTTCTCAAATTTAATAACATTGGGGCAGATGGAAAGGCAATACAGTAAAATAGAATATTAGTTGAAAATCAATAAAATTTAATCAATTAATAACTTTTTTGTCAGGCAACTCTCTATGAAAGACTGCAGTCTTGAGTCTCTTGATATCAAATTGCTTCAACTCCAAATCAAACGGTACAACCATAACTATCAGTACCCGAATAGAAGTGCAGTTAACAACTAGAGAGAAGATCTTTAAGAGAGGGGCTGGATCATGGTGGTAACACTCCCATACCTAGTTACGATGTTGTGACTTTCAATCCAGCTAACACCACTCATTGATACCTTAAAAAAAAGCTAACTCCCAAATCTCTATGAACAAAACAAGCAGGGACCTGTCTTCCCCACTGAATTACCCAAAAAAAAACACTTTTTTTTAAATAAAGTTCAAGATGGATGGTCCAAAAGTCTCATACACAACAACTGGGTGCATTAAAAATACCCAGGATCATTCTCATGTAAAACTTTAGAGGATAAAATTTAAGTTTACCATTGCCCCATTGAAATTTACCATAAACCCGAATATAATGTTGAGTTAGAGGATACAATTGCCCCGTTGCAATAAATAAATAAAGGTTAATTAAACCTATGAACAGTATTACAGGAGAGACTACAATCGCTGCAGTCTTGAATAATGGCACTGGAGGCAACGTGCACTTGAAAGAGTGGTTCATACCAGCTGACATGCATCCAATAAATGATTAAGCTTCTTGCTGATCATTAACATCTTTAACATGCATAATTCTCCATCATGCCAGGTATTCGGTGCATGCGTCAAAAAGAATCTTAGCCAATAATCAATAAAAAGAAGCCTCTGCATCAGGGAGGTCCATGATGGATTTTTTCTTTTTACCTGTTTTTCTTGCAATTTATTCTAAACGTACTGTTCTTCAATTATCACTGTATTTTCATCCCCATGGTTATAATTGCATTAAATTCTGGACCTAATCAATCTTCTGGTTCTTGGACAAGATGGTACCTCCTGTGACTGCTGATTTTCTGGTAGATAACCAGCTTTTATGAAGTCCACTACAGTGGAGGCTAATTCTGACCCGTGAGAGGAATATACATGGTTTGCACCTTCTATTGTATGCAGTTTATGGTTAGGGATGAGCTTGTCAAACTCTAGAGCATCTTCCACAGGTACGATTTCATCCTTTGTGCCATGAATTGTCAAGACTCTGCACAAGAATTTTTAATCATTCTCGTGCACTAAGTAGAAAGCTTTGAAAAATGATTAAACATAATAAAATCATGATTATCATCATATTGTAAAGAATCTTCACTACTTCTGAGTTCCTATTAGTCTAAAAAATAGATGGCACGTGTGATACAAGCACTAATGACAATCTCTTCCTCATGTTTTCTAAACTTCAATGTTTTTGGTTTTGGCCATATCAACAAGGACATCACTACATGCTACCAAAGATTTACTTTGTCGACAATAGATCTATAACTGAACAAATTATCGTGTAAATCTATCAGATCCGAATCATAATCATCTGAGCCTTATCCCTACTATCTAGGGTCGGTTATACAAATCATGTTCTGTCATTCCACTTTATCAAGGGCCACACCTTTAGTCAGACTGTAGGTCACCATTTCTCTTCTCACTACTTCCATTCATGTCCATCCCATCCAAATAATGTTTCTAAATGCACTGAAGAGAATTTACTCAAATTCAAAATCCGGTAGAGTTAAACATGCGAATAACAAAAACAATGTAGGCCAGTATAGTTCTGTCTAGGTCCTATTTTTAACCCTAATACATAATTAGCAGTGCCACTGTTCAAGGGGAAGCACTGCCGCACATACAGTTTACATCCATATGTGGATTAAGGTGATTCTCAGTTATGCACAAATGCCTGCTTTATGTTCAACACAGTTTCCAATTGTCTCTACGTTGGACAGATTACCCATTTCAGCTCCTATGGGGTTTGTAAAAGATACTCAGTATGGTGACTTGTTGGTGAAGTTCATTCTACTGTAGGTCACATGGAATCAAATCTCTGATAGTAACTCATTGATTTACTAGTAAACTAAGATTTTGGCATCCTGAAAAAGCCAATCTTTGGGGTCTAGATAATGCGTTGGTTAACGCATGATTCGTTTCTGGGGATAAGCACATAATAATGTTGTTAAAAATCTTTTATTCAGGTATGCAAGAACTAAACCAAATCTAAATCGAATGTTATTACCACCCATCTGATACATAGAAGCTATCCAAAGGAAGAACTGAAATTGAACCTGCAATTTTTATCAATCATGGGGGAGGCTACATGCATATCTGTACTTAGACGATCCATCAAGCTTTCTTCTGTAACACGGTACTCAAATTTCCCTACAAGTTCAAGCAAAATAAGTAATCAAGGACTTGATCAAAATGGTTTGTCAAGCACAAGCAATCAATTTATAAATGTAAAATAAGAGAATGAATCTGATTTCCTTGCAATGTATATCAAGCAAGTTATAGATGGATGCCCCGCAGCTACTACTAAAAATAAAAGCCAGAAAATATAGGTTCTTCAAAAGAAAAATGAAGGGACATATTCATATGGGAAATAAATCAAATCTATGCACAAGATAAAAGTAAGAAATAGAAAAAAATAGAACTTAAGAAATAAATCAAATATTTGCACAAGATGGGGCACACTTATGAAGTAACATTTGGGGGCCAACTGATTCAAAAATTTGTATCCAAAAAACTTGCAAGTTTTGGGAAGCCAATTTGGAAAAACTACTGATTTAATTTTCTGATGCTGCAGGATTGTTTGGCCCTTCCATAGAACATCAAAATCCATTTTTATTTGCCTAGTATGCCTGTTTGGCCCTCATAAAGAACATCAAATGCTTCTTTTAGGTTTTGTCTAATCATGTGACGTTGAAATGCAAGCAATTTTTACCATGTCAAAGGATTGAGTATTCTTTCACACAAGGATAAACTAGACTTTTGAAAATTTTATTTATGCATTCGATCATTTAGATTGACGGCCAGGAAATACCAAAAAGAGTACACTTCGATACCTTGGGTCAATAATCTATAAAATTACTGCTGGGTGGGGAAAGTGGAGATGTGCAACCAGAATTCTATGTGGTTGCCGCATACCTATGGAGCTAAAGGGCAAATTCTATATCACAACTGTGAGCTAGCTTTGCTCTATGAGGAGGAATGTTGGGCGGTTAAAAAATAATATACCCATAACATGAGTGTAGTGAAGATGAGGATGTTGAGATGGATGAATAGCAAGACAATATGGGATAGAATTCGAAAATGAATACATTCAGGAAAATTTAAGTGTGGCACCAATAGGCAATAAGAAGAGAGAGAGTAGACTTTGGTGGGCTGGACATGTATGGTACAGACCCAATACAACACCTGCTGAGAGATGCAAGTTAGTTCAAGCGGAAGGGTAAAAAAAGGCAAGGGGTAAACTCAAAAGGACATGGTTGAAAGTAGTGAAAAAAGATATGGGAACCAAGGGCTTCACTGAGGATATGACCCTTAATAGAGCAGAATGACGGACCAAGAAAGGCTTTGACGATGATGATGCATTCGATCATTTATGAGAGAAAATTTCGATTATACTTGCTTATTACCAAAAATGGATTCCATACGTGATCAAATTAGGAATCCAATAATAGATCAAAACTACTTCCCGCGACACATATTAAAAGAAGTTTTGGAAAGATTTTTGCAAATATAAGTTCAAAAAATTTTTGCAAATATAAAAACGTCTTTTCCTATACATTAAAGACCTCATTTAAACACAAAGAAAATTCCCTTCTCAAGGACTCTTTTGTGACAACAAGCACTTACCATTCCTGTCTTTGACATCAATGAATATGTCGTTCTTGATCTTTTCCATGAAGTCTTTACCTAAGCGACCCACAATTCCTTGACACAAATCAAAGCGGCCACAAACATTAACCACAGTATCAACGTCATGATACTTGGAAGCATACAAAAGCACTGCATTTCCTCCTGCAACAGAATTTAGAACAATGAATCCCACCGAACATGCGAAAAATAAACAAGTATGTGAAACACAAGAATCTCACGCATAAACCAAAAAAGAATGAAATTCATGGAACTATTATTAAACTGTAATGAGTAACACTAGCCATAATAAAGAAACAATTTCATGTGAAACACAAGAATCTCATGTATGAAGCTAAAAGAACGAACATAACAAAACCATTATTTAGAGGAAATGCAATGTTTCACAATAGGAGGAGGAGATGTTAATTCAAGAAAAAGAGAACAGGGAACTCATTAAAATTGTCAGAGTAACCAGCTAGAAAAAACATTGATAAATAAATGGAACAGGTCCCCAACTACAATTCAATCCCATAATGGTCAATAAACTTGTGAGTAGAAATAGCTAGCATAAAAAATATCATACCCTACGTCCATTCAATTAAAAAGAAAGGCATGCATCAAATAATAAATAATACAATATATATAATACAAAAGATTTAATGAAGAGGATTTAGCGAAAAAAGAAGCGTGTAATCAAGAGGACAACAAAAGCTAAAAGGACAAATAAGTCCATGTCCATGCATGGAGAATAATGTCAGCATCATTTGCCGAATTCAGTAAATAGCAATGAATAAACAATCAAAGAAATCCCTAAACTATTTAAAATCCAGTGGGTTACACCCAGTGTTCACAAAATCAAACCGGAACGGTTAACCGGACATGGGGCTGGGAGCGGTTTGACCCGGAATTGGACTAACTGGGGCGGTTAACCAGACTAACCGGTCAAGTAGATTTTTTTAAAAAAACAAGGGTCAAAAACCCCCAAAAAATAAAAAACAAAATTAAAAAAACTTAGATTAAGTGTATAATATCTTATTACATAGATTTATCTTACAAAAAAAAAATTGAAACAACTTGTTATAAATTAATATTTGAATACTATTGTCATGTACATGATCCCAAGCAGGTCACATAAATCATTTTGTTTCCTAGATTAGGATATTCTTTGAAGATATTTTTGTCATGTAACATCTTCTTCCAAGAATTAACATATTCATCCCAAATTTTACATGAAAAACTTTCTAGTTTCTTTTGTACAAAAATCGCTAACATTAGGAATGAAAATTTATGCACTTTTTTGCAAATAACAAAAGTAGCTTGATGCTATTGAATCAAATAAAAACGCCAACTAATTACGACAGGAAAGAAAGGACCTCTTCCATATATAGTTAGATAAAGCATAATTCATACAATATTTTTTCGATGAATTAAATAAGGCATACTTCACGAAAAGTACATCTCATAATATGCAACAAAACGAAAAATCAATGCATAGCACACTGAAATGCTCTACTGTTCTTATATGTATCTACCATATCCACATCAGTGTGTTGTGCATTGATTTTATCAAAAAATAAGTACAGTAGAACAAATAATTTTATCAAAAACTAAGTTTATTCTGAAAAATAGAAAAACACTTCCCATATTTATCATAAAACATAATTTTATTCAAAAACCATAATTTTATCAAAAATAATAATTTATTAAGCAAAATGGAAAAACATTTCCCATATTTATCATAAAACATAATTTTATTCAAAAACCATAATTTTATCAAAAATAATAATTTATTAAGCAAAATGGAAAAACATTTCCCATATTCATCATAAAACATAATTTTATTAAAAACCATAATTTTATCAAAAAAATTATTTTGTTAAGCAAAATAGAAACACACTTCCCATATTCATCAAAAAACATAATGTTTTATTAAAAAACATAATTTTATTAGAAAGATAATTTTATTAAGCAATATAGAAAAAACCTTCCCATATTGATCAAAAATAATAATTTTATTAAGCAAAATGATTTCTTGTTTTAGAAAAGTCAATTTCTCAAAATGTAAGGGATGATTTGAAATTAAGATCACCTTTGTAAAACTCTCTCTCTCTCTCTCTCTCTCTCTCTCTCTCTC